TTTCTCTGTCAACTCTGCATATATCCTTCACGATCGATATCGCATGTTTGTCTATGGAGCGGGTTAAGAGCATACTAAATGTTCTGACCGCATTAGTGCAGGAGAACGCTCTGATGACATCAGAAGTACGCAGGCTACATCATAATTTCTATTTTAATGGAGAGTAAAACAAAGGCTGAAGACCGTATAATCTGATAGGTAGCATTATTTGAGAGAACGCCGGCAGCCCGGCACAGTAACTTCATATTGATGCGCGGCCAGTTCTTTCTGTTGCTTTCCAGCTGTTAATAATTTCAACATGTGGCTTCTGCTTCCTAATGTTTTTAGGTTTTCCCTCAGTTTATCTTCAAATTCACCACAGGGCAATGGAAGTGGGACTGGGCAATAAACATTTGGGAGAATTCCAGTGTAAGGAATAGGCAGGGACAAAGCAGAGAGAGAATCCACATGCAAGCACTACTTTAATAATAATAATAATAATAATAATACAAACAATAATCCAGGGCAAACAAAGAAACTCAGGACAGGAACATGGAACAGCAAACAGCAATAACGACTGACAAACAACAACTGAAGTACTGAGGTTTAAATAGACAGGGGGCTGAGGGACTGGTATTGGTGATATGTCATGGGACCTAATAAGGGTCACTATGGTGACAAACAAGGTAAAATGCAAAACAGGAACCATCACAGACAGAACCTTTTGAGACAACAAGAATCACAGATCTTAAACCTCGAAAGAATGGTAAACGGTTACTTGCACAGGTAAAGCTCTTTTGTGGTTGATGTGAAGAAGGCGTGTGTGTCTCTCTCTGTCCTCGTGTCACGAGTTTGGGTTCGTCCAGCGCGCGCGAGCGCGGCGTGTTTGAATGTCCTTGTAGGTGAAGCTTGCCAGTCTGGCTGTGTTCATTTTCTTCGCGAGAAGACATGAACAGAGGAGACTTCGAAAAAGATAAAATAAACTTGAAGAAAACAAAAGAGAAACGATGGATCATCACACTAAGGCGAGGTCCAGATGCACGAGGAGTCACATGATGAAGCCACGAAGAGCAGGAAGAGCCAGGGAGTTTAGGCAGAGAGTTTTCAGGAAGCTTTCAGAAGCGTTTCAGAAGGGCGCGTCTCTTTAAGGACACTTAGGTTCACGCCCCTTCTGGCATGAAGGCACCAATCAGCTGGGAGAAAAGTGCCCGCGGAAGATTCCTCTTTGTCTTGTCAGGATCATTTATGATGGTATAACATTTTGTCATTCCTACCCAGAAAGATTGTACAAACCGGACAATAGATTTTACAGTAATATCCTATGTATGACTGGTTCAGTCAAGACAAGACGGTCAAACAGCTACCAGACATGGCAGGTAAAAGTAGAAGAACATAGAGTTACATTCATATGCAGAATTACAAGCATTTTAAAGTTTCTTCACACGACTATAAAGCCATAATACCTGCTACCATGACCTAGGAAATATCAAATTCATGTTTATGCATTTCTTAAGTGGTTATACTTATAGACAATCTCCTGTTAATTCTTATCCTCTTTGTCCGAGTGTGCTTCCGAAACATAAACACTGTAACAACAGTGTAATAATAGGCTGTCAATTAAGATAACACAATCCTTTGGAGGTACAACAGCTTTTTTTTCTTATTTGATATAAATGTATTTATTTCCAACCATGTCAGTATGTTAAAAGCAGATTTACTTTCACAGTTGCAGAGTTTTTCACTTTTTCTGTTTGTATTTTAGGCATTTTAAAAGACCTTGTGCTGTTCTAGTGTTAACCCAGCTGCATGTACACTGAAGTTTTACCTCCGAATATGTTACACTGTTAAATGTGAAATGTGTATTAATAAACATTGCTTAGCTTTACTGCATTTTTTCTCTTTTTGCAGTCCTCTATACTTTATTTGCTGAAAACTGATCAAGGTTTACTTGGGCATTTCACTCATGCAATTGTTAAATTACTTTTAAGTGGACAGTTCCTGTGGAATTAGCATGTAACGACACTGATGGTACACAACAATTACCTTAAAGGGATAGTTCGGCCAAAAATGATATTTAACACATGCATTACTCACCCTCAAGCCGTTCAAGATGCATATGTCAATCTTGTTTCAGACGAACACATTTTCAGTTATTTTAGAAAATGTCTTAGACCCTTCAGTGGATATAATGTGAAGCAATGGGGTCCACCTCCTTCAAGTCCCAAAATGTGCATACATCCTTCACAAAAGTAATCCATCCGGCTCCAGGGGGATAAACGAAGGCCTTCTGAGGGTAATCCGTGCGGTTTTGTCGTAAAAATATACATATTTAAAACTTTATAAATGAAAATATCTGACTTCCGGCAACGATCGACGCGCGTTCACGGGTGAACTGAGTGTAGTTTTGTTTTGCTCTGCACTCTGGCTGCGCAGGCACGTTCATTCTACGTCACGACGGTTCCTACGCTACGTCATACCTCGTACGCCGACATCCATCACCCGTGAACGCGCGTCGATCGTTGCCGGAAGTCAGATATTTTCATTTATAAAGTTTTAAATATGTATATTTTTACGACAAAACTGCACGGATTACCCTCAGAAGGCCTTCGTTTATCCCCCTGGAGCCGGATCTCCTCAGAGCGAAGCCAGATGGACACGAGCACACTCCAACACACACACACAGAACGGGGTGTTCTCTTACAAGACTGAGTTTTATTACCCCCTTGGAATGTCCCAGAGAGTGGGATTTCTCCTAATTCTTGCTGAGAAGGAGAAATGAACCCTGTGTAATCGTATATATATTCTAGATATATATAACCATGTGATAACTCTCTTAACATTTATCTGATGTCCCATCTCATGATTTTCCTGTATGTGTTTGGTCTATGTTCCTGTAAACTCGAATGGGTTAATGTTCCAGATTTTGCATACCATGGTAAACAGAATGGTATGTGTGGCATATTTGGTCTTTATAACCTGGTACTGTGAAGATTGAAGTGACTGGGTAAATTATATGTCGATAACAACAACATATGAGTATTACCAGAATCTTTTAATAGTTTCTTCATTGGTTCTTCATAGTTTCTTTAAGCCTTTGAAATTGCGCGCTCTCCGGACACACCCGCACACCACGTGACGCTCCAACGCCACACGTGCGCGCTCCTCGGACCAGCTGCAACCATGTGACGCTCCAACGGAACACACAAGACAAGCAGCTCACATAGCCGTGTTCAGCCACATAAGAACCAAAAATACAAGTATTCGTTTATCGAGTCTTCAGAGCAGTAAGATTGTGTTTTTCGTGGTGTCTCTCAACAGTTTTAAAGGTCTGTAATTTGCCACTGATACCTCCAGTCTCTCTCCCTCTCTCTCTCCCTGTTTCTTTCACTCTCAGATCCTTTTAGTGTTTTGTTCATTGTCGTTGTGTTATTGTCTGTATATACATTTTATTCCTTGTAACGCTTAGCAACCATATACGTAGTGTACTGCCTTATTAAATACATTGTTCATTTTATTGATTCTGTCTCTTGCTCATATAAGTCACTTAAATGTTAAAGATCTTAGCTACTAGCTTACAAATTAAAGATACCTTAAACAGTATCTTGTTTATGGAAAAGTGAGGTTGTTTCCCGAGGCCTGAGAAATTGCCTTTCTTGTCCTTCTACAAGGATAACTTTTGTGAGGATTGATAGAATACCGTACGGTCAATTCGCTGGCGAACAGATTAGTTGGTAGTTGATTAATTCCATTAGAAGTTATTTATACTAGACAATTGATATGTTACTATTTTAATCATAAACTGTTCTGATTGAGTACTGATATACAATTGAGCTAATTTTAACCTGTCTGTAAAATATGTGTACATATACAGTTAATGATAATCCTTTGTGGTTAATTGCCTATGTACCTCTATGAATACAGACGCAGGTAACAGATTATCCCCCTCGTTGGGCGATTTAACATGTATAAGTATCTGGTTCAAACCCGTATGAATAATTATTAATTATGAATTATTGAATACATATTCCCCAAAAACGAACCGCATACTTTACAGGTACATGCACTTTTCAAGTTGATTGTACTGAAATGTGTGTTGGCAGGGCCTGTACACAACCATCCTATAATGATAAAAATCCATCCAGTGTTTTTGTTTTAATCTCCTTATATGTTTTCCCCTGTCTCAAATTGAGCCGTTCGATTTTGTGACGTCACTAAATCAGACGCCCCTCCCACGATTGTTGATTGACAGCAGCGTTTCAACACATCCCCGCCCTGAGCGAGCTGTCATCATAGTCCGTCATTGTTGATACGCTGGAGCAGAATGGTGTCTAAGCGGTTGTGGTGTTCTGTTCTTGGGTGTAATAACAAACACAGCAATCAATTTGATGTTCCTAAATCCGAACCGCTGAAGACGCAGTGGCTGAGTTTTGTTTTCAAAGGGAATATTCCCACGATCAACGTCAATGCTTTCATGTTTGCGCGAATCATTTCTCACCAGACTGCTTTATAAACTGCTTTGTGTTTGTTTGTGTGTCGTGACTGAGTTTCGCTGGCCAAATAGTTGGGCGTGGCCAAAGCCAGTTAAAGTACTTAATCTAGGCATTTGCTAATAGTTGTTAGAAGAAGCATTAGAACAACAGGAGAGAACATCAGTCTGTGAGTGTTTACTTTCTCATTTGATTTTAGCGCGGCTCTTCGTTACTGTTTACCCTGGTAAAAACGCACGTGTGTTTGTTTGTGTGTCGTGACTGAGTTTCGCTGGCCAAATAGTTGGGCGTGGCCTGCTGTATTCATTAACAGGGTATTAGGTGTGTATAAAACTGGTTAGTGCACCGCGGCAGCGGTCGCGGCTGCCCTCGTGTGAAGCCCTCATCGTGTGAAGACCAAAGAGTGTAAAGACCAGCGACTCTACCTGTGCGACTCCACCGAGCAAGGACACCGACAAAGCACTTGAGTATTAAATTCTTCTATTTATTGTTGTTTCCTTTCTCTTCTACAAACTTTTTGTTTGTAAGCTCCTTTTCACTATGTGTTTTCAAATCTCTACTATTACTAACATACGTAAATCAAACGTCACACGTCAGAGGCGGTGCAATCCTAACAATCTCCGTACCCTTCCGGTGTCTTCTAATACTTTATTCTCTTTTCCTATTGGTCTCTGGAACTGCCAGTCCGCTGTTAACAAAGCTGATTTCATTACATCTTTTTCAAGTCATTCAGGTCTCAGTCTATTGGCCCTGACTGAGACCTGGATCAGACCAGAGGACACTGTCACACCTGCTGCCCTCTCCACTAACTTCACTTTCTCACACACCCCCTGTCTGACCGGAAGGGGTGGTGGTACTGGTCTGCTCATCTCAAATGACTGGAAATTTGATCCTTTACCACCTCTATTTGACAACAGCTCATTTGAATCACATTCAATTACCATCACTAGCCCTATAAAAATCCATTTTGTAGTTGTATATCGTCCCCCAGGTCAACTTGGCAGTTTATTGGAGGAGCTTGATGTGCTACTCTCATCCTTCCCTGAAGATGGTACTCCTCTTGTAATTCTTGGAGACTTCAACATCCACCTAGAAAAACCTCAGGCTGCCGATTTCCACACCCTGCTTGCATCATTCGACCTCAAACGAGTATCTTCTGTGGCAACTCACAAATCAGGTAACCAATTGGACCTTTTCTACACACGCTACTGCTCTACGGACAATACACTGGTCACTCCACTGCACACCTCAGATCACTTCCTCCTCACTCTCAACCTGCCTCAGAACACAACACACACTCCTCCACAGGTCACCTTTCGACGGAACCTACGCTCACTTTCACCCTCTCACCTATCCTCTTTGGTCTCATCCACACTTCCTCCACCTGATCAGCTCTCAACACTTGATACTAACAGTGCAACTGATACTATTTTCTCCACTTTAACATCCTGCTTGGACAACTTCTGTCCCCTTTCCTCCAGGCCAGCCCGCGCCACACCCTCTGCCCCCTGGTTAACTGATATTCTTCGCGAACATCGTACTAAACTCAGGGGTGCAGAGAGGAAGTGCCGCAAATCGAAAGATCCGACAGACCTGGGTCTTTATCAATCCCTCCTCTCTTCCTTCTCTGCTAATATCTCTACTGCTAAAATGGCTTACTATCACAACAAAATTTTCAATTATTCTGACTCTCGCATGCTTTTCAAAACCTTCTCCTCTCTTCTTAACCCTCCTCCTCCTCCCCCTTCATCAACCCTAACAGCTGACGATTTTGCCACATTCTTCATAGAAAAAACAACCACCATCAGCGGCCAATTTACCAATCCACAAACTGACACACACATTTTACCAACAAACGCACACATTTTACCCTCCTTCTCTCTACTTTCAGAGGCGGAAGTCTCTAAACTCCTCCTTTCCAATCGCCCTACTACCTGTCCGCTTGATCCTATCCCCACTAATCTACTTCAAGCCATTTCTTCCTCAGTTGTACCCACACTCACGCACATCATAAACACCTCTCTTCACACTGGTACCTTTCCCACAGCTTTTAAGCAGGCTCGAGTAACCCCACTGCTTTAGAAACCCAATCTAAATCCAGCACATCTAACAAGTTACAGACCGGTATCTCTTCTTCCATTTGTCGCGAAAACACTTGAACGAGTTGTTTTCAACTAGATCTCCTCCTTTCTTACACAGAACAACCTCTTGGACGACAATCAGTCTGGTTTCAAAAGCGGACACTCAACTGAGACTGCCCTGCTCTCAGTAATTTAAGCTCTGAGACTGGCAAGAGCAGCTTCCAAATCCTCAGTCCTCATCCTGCTGGATCTGTCTGCTGCTTTTGACACAGTTAACCACCAGATCCTCCTGTCAATCCTAAAGATGAAGGGCATCTCGGGAACTGCACTCCAATGGTTCGAGTCTTACCTCTCAGGTAGGTCCTTTAGGGTGTCATGGAGAGGTGTGGCATCTAAGACCCAACATCTACCTACTGGGGTGCCTCAGGGCTCAGTGCTTGGACCACTCCTCTTCTCCATCTACATGACATCACTAGGATCTGTGATTCAGAAACATGGCTTTTCCTATCATTGCTACGCTGATGACACGCAACTCTACCTCTCATTCCAGCCTGACGATCCGACGGTAGCTGCTCGTATCTCAGCCTGCCTGACAGACATTTCTGGCTGGATGAAGGACCACCACCTTCAACTAAACCTTGCGAAGACAGAGCTACTTGTGGTCCCGGCCAACCCAACACTTCATCACAACTTCTCCATTCAGCTAGGCTCGTCATCCATAACTCCATCAAGGTCAGCTATGAACCTTGGGGTTGTAATTGATGATCAGTTGAAATTCACAGACCACATTGCTAGAACTGCCCGGTCCTGCAGATTTGCCTTGCACAACATTAGGAGGATCAGGCCCTTCCTTACAGAGCATGCCACACAAATCCTTGTCCAAGCACTTGTTTTATCCAGACTGGACTATTGTAATGCTCTCCTGGCTGGTCTTCCAGCTTGCTCTGTCAAACCTCTACAATTGATCCAGAATGCTGCAGCCAGAGTAGTATTTAATGAGCCGAAGAGAGCACACGTCACTCCTCTGCTCACAAAATTGCACTGGTTGCCAGTTGCCGCTCGCATTAAATTCAAGGCACTGACGTTTGCCTACAGAACAACGGCTGGCACTGCTCCCTCTTACCTAAACTCATTACTTCAGACTTATGTGCCATCCAGAAACCTGCGCTCTGCTAGCGAATGTCGTCTTGTGGTACCATCTCAAAGAGGCACAAAATCTCTTTCTCGGACCTTTACCATGGCTGTTCCCTGTTGGTGGAATGATCTGCCTAACTCAACCAGAGCTTCTGAGTCAGTAGCCACTTTCAAGAAACTGCTGAAGACGTATATTTTTCGGCAGCACTTGATTCAGTAGAATTAACACTTTCTCTTCTCTTCTATTCTATAAAAATAAATAAAAATAAATAAAAACTGCACTAAAATTAAACTGTTAGTTTAACTGCTTCTATTGTTCTCATTTGTAAGTCGCTTTGGATAAAAGCGTCTGCTAAATGAATAAATGTAAATGTAAACGAGGGTCAGTGTAAAGCTGGTTTTGCTAAGAAGCTGCTCCTGAAAAAATAATCAGTACCAACTATTCATGTTCCTGCTGCACCTCCAGAAGAAGAGAGTGTAAAGTTTTATTAATCTTTATATTAATCTTTGCAAATCGCGAAAAAAAGTTGTTCATGACCATTAACTGTAACATCAATCTGTCAACGAACTAACCTATACATCAGTAAACACATAGTGTTCGTATTTCACTACTCTAACAGTTACCCTGCCAGTACATACAAAGATAGATCAAAGTGACATTACATTAACCAACCATTCAGAAACGTCCTGTTCGAGCCTTAATTGTCGAACTTCTTTGCGGCCGTCATCTTGTTCCGGGTCCGACTCCGGTTCAAACTGATACGGTTGCACAGATGTGTCCTCAGAGACTCCCGCTGCCATTCTTTCTCCAAAATATACCCTCAACTGTTGTCAAGGCAACACTCCACGTGCGTTATGCGCCCCACAGAACAGAGGGGCGAAGTGAGCGAAGCTCATTATCATTTAAAGGCATATTACAGAGAACATGCAAACACAACACAGAAAGGTGTCCAAGATCGTTTGTAAAATCAGATTAGTTTTATTCAGCTTATCCATTTGTGACTCTGCTTTTATTACACTGTATTGCCACTTATTGTGTCCAATTTCAGACCTACTGTACCTGAGTGATTTTGGTTTTAAAAGTTACAACTTGGAACGGTCAATGAAAGCTTTAGCATGAGTTCTGGTAACACTTTAGATTACAGCCCGGAAATTACTGTGTAATTAAAGCGATTTTACAGTGTAACTTTATGTAGGCTAATTATAGTGCACCTACATGTAAGTATACGGGAACAATATGTAAAGTTTGGGTAATAAAGGGGTAACAACCAGGAGAATAAAAAAATATATATTTATACTGTAAGTATTATAAGGGATACTTATTCTACTATTATGATACAAAAATCTAACATTTGGGAGCAATTTAGCGAGAACAAATACTGCGTACCTTTTTGTAATAATGGTGTACCAATACATACTGTAGCCTATAGGCTTTTTAAAAATTACAGGGTACATATCTATGCATTTATACAGTAATCTTTTTAACAAAATTGCACTGAAAACTACAACAATTGCAACTTTTGCTTAAATATTTGGGGAAAGATAATCTTGTTTCATGTAGTGGTGCTTGTTACCCTCTTATTCTATGTAGTTACAGGGTAAGTACAATAAAAATAAATCACAACCTTGTATCACTGACTCGGAAACCTTTATTTGAAAAACAACTTAATTCAAAACAGATTTACAACACTTCACTTCAAGTCTTGACAGAAAGTAGCACGTTTTTACTCTTGCTTGGCTTCTTCCTTTTGTTACTCTTCTTTTTATTTATTTCCACTGATAAATCTGAAGAAGAAATCATGTCTCTTGCTATTAAAAGAAAATGCAGTACACCCAGAAATACGTCCTCACCAGACCAACTGTATTACGTTGTTTTTCAAATAAAGGTTTCCGAGTCAGTGATATTAGATTGTGTGTATATTATTATTGTACTTATCCTGTAACTACATGGAACAAGAGGGTAACAAGCAACACTTTAATTTACGGCCAGCAATGTCACACGTACCCTGTAACTACATGGAACAAGAGGGTAACAAGCACCACTTACCCTGTAACTACATGGAACAAGAGAATATTTCCCAGTATTTAAAAAAAAAATGCAATAGTTTTAGCTTTACTTGCCTTGACACATGTAAGCCCAATATGGAAGTAAAATAATGTCAAATGTTTTTGAAATAAAAAGCCTGTTGAATTGCACTACTTGAAAAAAAATAGGCATTGCATTAACCATGCTTGCATTTTAATGCATTGTATTTTTAGGGCTTGGATTTTTATGGGCTGAAATTCAACATGGTTGAATATTTAAGCTGTGAATATTTCAATTAAATACATTTCAAACACATTTTCATTATTAAAAATTCAATAATCCATATTCACCATTCATATTTAATTTCCAAAATATTCAAAATGTTTAAAAATATAACCAATAATATTCAACAGGCAATTTTTAGGTCCATTTTATTTCGCTTTGCAAATTCGCTTCCACAAATTCAGTGGTTCAAATTCGACAGTAAATTCAACATTGACGTCCAGGAACTGCAGGAAAAGCAGAAGATTGCCGAGCATAATCTCCATCTGCTGTTAGTCAACCTCACCATCAGATGGTGCAAAAGCGCTTGTTGTTGACGAAGACATTCATTCATAAAATGGAAATGATTATCTGTGACAGTATATGCGGAAAAGATGATAAACACACAAAAGCTCTGTTTATGTTTCATTCAATAACTTCATTGTTACTTTCTACGGTGGCCGAGACAGCTCAACGCGCTGCAACTGAAGCAAACATATGCAAATAGAGAAAAACGTGTGCAAATAGAAAAAAACGCATGCACATAGAAAAAAACACATGCAAATAGAAAAACACGCGTGCAAATAGAAAAAAACACCAGCAAATTAAAAAAAAAACATCTTCATCAGTTTCACAACACACGTGTGCTCCAAATAAGGAAACGCGCTGCAAAAGTTCACAACACAACCAAATACAGAAAACGCGCTGCAAATAACACAGACCACAACGGAAATGTTTCCAGGGGAACCAAATAAGTGACGAACCCGGCTGAGACGTGCTTATTGCTCGTGAGCTTCCCTATGCCATACTCCCTTCGAAGGGCAGATTGCGCCCTTTTGGAGTGAGCAGGGCTCTAGTGTGCTGTTAGGCAGCCGTGTGGAACGCACTTGATGAAGGGAGCAACTAAAGACAACGTGGGATGTTCCCATGACAACGCAGCACGGTGTCCATCAGCTGGTCTTACGACAGAAATATGATGCTGTTAACATAACGGATGCAAATACATTTTTATTTGTAGTTTACAAAAAAAGCTTTTAAAATATGCGTTATATATCTGTGTCTCAACTTTAAAATTTTGGACCCTACATTACCTAACATTTATTACGAAACTTTTCTTTATGAAAATGTAATAACATGAAACAATTTGTACAGTGTAACTGATGTATAGATAAATATATTTCCTTCATGTTTTTCTTCTTTATCTTTTTTATTTATTTATTTTAGTTTCCAGCTCATTGTTCTTTTCTCATTTGTATTCTGATGACATTGAACATATTGTTAATACATTTTGTACATTGTATACAAGTTGTATGTCATAAAAAATGTAATCTCTGTATGTTTTGCACAAATAAATAAATAAATAAACAAATAAATAAAGTATAATTTTAAGCTGTAAGCACCAGCACGCATAGATTTATGGATATCTATGCCGGCACGTCCCAGCCGGGTTCGTCACTTATTTGGTTCCCCTGGAAACATTTCCGTTGTGCTCTGTGTTATTTGCAGCACGTTTATGTATTTGGTGGTGTTGTGAGTATTTGGAGCACACGTGTGTTGTGAAACTGATGAAGATGTTTTCTTAATTTGCAGGTGTGTTTTTTTATTTGCACACGTTTTTTTCTATTTGCATGCGTTTTTTTCTATTTACATGTGTTTTATTTTATTTGCATGTTTTTTTTTCTATTTGCACGCGTTGTTTTCTATTTGCATGTGTTTTCTTCTATTTGCATGCGTTTTCTTCAGTTGCAGCGCGTTGAGCTCTCTCGGCCACCGTAACTTTCCCTGTGTATACACGAATCCGACGAGCGTTCTGTGTAGGCTGCCATCTTGTGGCGACGCCATTACTGAGCTGTTAAGTTACCGGTATGTAAACAAACCTCTGTGATAACTCACCCTCGATGGCAGCTACAGCCAGGCAGAATGACTTGTTGGGTTGATGATGTTATAAAGTGGCCTCCAGTCACAGATGAAGGTACAAACGATCTTACAGATTATTTATGAAAATAGCTTGGCAAGCTAGCTAGGCTAACGTTAGCTAACGAGGAAAGTATAAAAAGATCTGTCCATTTGGCGACAATAAATAAATGAATGACATCAAATAAACAAATTCATGTTTTTCATTTGTGTCCATTATTTATCTCATTTTCACATTGCAAAAGGCAAGGGTAAGGTACAGCTAGAAAGTATACATAATATCGACCAATTAGTGTTTATAAACCATGGAAAGAGGTCAATATAACAGCAGGAGAACAATTATGTCACATAACGTTACATTTAGCCCAGGAAAGCCATTTAATGACCACAGCATGTTAATTGAATAGAAAAAATAGCTAGAGAGGAGATTTTGCTGAGCACTATATTACATATTTATTATATTTTTTACTTATGTCGTTAAATAATTGTTATTATAACAAAAACTGCATTATATTTAATTT